TTTCCATAGCAAGTGATTGCAAAGACTATGGCCTGGATCAGGTGCACCTTAGTCTCCAGACTGACACCATTGTTTTTCAGTAATTTAGAGAGGTCTCTGAAAGCAGACTTTCCTTATGCATTCTTTCTTTTAATTTCCTGACAACATACTACACTAGGAAAATCTGCAGCAAAAGACCTCTTTGAAGTATTTTTTTTTAAGAAGAAAATGTCACTTTGAGGACTAAAATGCCCCTAACAAGCAACGGCATTTTCAAATGCTTTATATGCTCATGAAAGTTTTGCAATGAATAAGGAGGCTTAAGAATTGTTGCCTTTGAATTATGATGTTGGCCTTTCCCATAGAGAATGTACAGTGGACTGCCAAAAAATATTAACAAATCTGTCTTGGAAGAAGTACTTTTGTCTCATTTGCTTTGTACGTGTTATCTGAATAACATCATACATGGTAGAATGTCATTGAAAAGGTGAAAGACCTTCAATGAGATGGATTGGCAGAGTGGCTGCAACAGTGGTCTCCAGTAGGAAATTACGAGGATCCTGCAGGACAGGGCGGCTGTGCCTCGTCGTTGTACATGGTGTCTTTGCGAGTTAAAACTGACCCAAATGCCCCTCACCGCATTATATTCTGGACACCTTTCTAGGGAAGCTCTGGCAGTATAGTCTAGACATGTGGCACTGCTAATCACTTCTCATCTCTAGCGGTTCAAACCCACCAGTTGCTGCTTGGGAGAAAGATGGGTAATTTCTAATTAAGATTTGCAGTCTCAGAAACTTGATGGAGGATCATTATAACTCAAAACAGACTCCATGACAATGAGTGAGTGAGTGAGCTGTGAAACAACCGTTAAATTATGTTAAAGTCCTCCAGAATCTTCACTACTCTCTCACCCTGGACTGGTGGCCACATGTGTTACTCCCACACTTATTTTTTTTTTCATTTGTTCAAAAATATGCTGATAACCCTGCATGCATTGTTTTATCTCAGTCTTCTCCAAGATTATCCTTTTCAGAAAGCTATCAAATTGTGTCAATTCTCTGCTTAAAACCCTCCAGTGACTACTCCCTAGTTAGTTCATTCAGAGTAAAAGCCCATCTTACATTCCTTTCTTTAGAAATGAATTTTGAAAAATAGGGGAAACATTTCCAAGGGGAAAAAAACATACAACACTTAAATACAAATGCTTAAAAATGTAAAATCGTTTCTAGGACTTTGCAATAACCTTGCTACAGTTTATGTGATTTGAGTCATTTATTACTTTGAACTATTTATTACTTTAGTACACTTTAGAATTACCTAAAAACAAACCAACAAAAAAGCTGACCCCAGGTGTTACTGTATTTTTTAAAACAGTAATGAGTTTGTTATTTGATGTTAAAGGATTTGACATTTTGCCTTAACAATTTTAAAAACCATACACACAAAACTCTTTATATTAATTCAGTACTCCAAAAGTTAGTTCTGTTTTGAGATTTCCTCATCTGATCTCTAATTATATAAGGTTGTCTTTTAAAATATGCTATTTAAGTCTAAGTTTTACATTTCAAAATTATATCTTTAGTGGTACTTAAGTATTAAGTTCTGTGAAGTTATTTCTAAGGATGCTATTTTTAGAATGTTATAATATATGTGTTCAGCTGTATCTTGTGAATTTAAAGTCTGTTTTCTGATATTTTGTGTATAAACTTGTAAAAAATTTTTTATAATTTTGTGATAATGTCGTTTCCCCAAATATTTATTCAAATTTTACTGTATTTTTAACCTAAATCCAGATACACTATGTGTTTCAGTAATTGAACATGACACACTCCTCAACAGCTTAATAATCATTGACCCACAGGTTGATTGAACTATATATTCTATAGAGTCACTGAAAAAGCCAGGATGACAACTCAAAGCCTTTTCAGCATTATCTTACTGATAGCCTTTTCCATTATTATATTTTTCCCATGAAGACACTTCCTACAAAATATGTCTTCTTCGTGAACTACTAAACTGTTCTGGCAGTATATATGAAATATGTTCTGCTTGACAGTATTTTAAAACAAATATGTTACATTCCTCATATTGCTGTACCCACATTTATGAATGTGCTTCCAATCTTTCTCCTTCTCTATTTTCACAGAATGTCAAGTTCCACATGCCTGAAGATCCAAAGGGGAAAAAAGAAAGTTTGTTAGTTAAGCCTCAGAGGCCTACCGGAGTCTTAATGGAAATCAGCCATTCACACGGAGAAGATGAAGCTTCAGATAAAACTACAAGGTCCTCAACAAATAAGTTGATTGAAAAACATCAAGGAACTAAGACTCTTTCCAGAAAGTTCAACAATATGAATTGGCCATTGGAAATTAGCCCCTTAAATAAAAGTGTATTGAAAGACAGCAAGTGGAAGAACATTGATGTAACCCAAGAGAAACGCAGATCTCTTCTTCAAGAGTTTTGCAAGAAATACAGTGGAGTGAATCGTGCCCAGTCACATCTGTTCCATGTGGTATCCAGAATCTATGTGGAAGATAAACACAAGATCTTATATTGTGAAGTACCGAAGGCTGGCTGTTCCAACTGGAAAAGAATTCTGATGGTCCTAAACGGATTGGCCTCCTCTACGTACAACATTTCCCATGATGCTGTCCACTACGGGAAGTACTTGAAAAAATTAGACAGCTTTGACTTAAAAGGGATATATACTCGCTTAAACACTTACACCAAAGCTGTGTTTGTTCGTGATCCCATGGAAAGATTAGTGTCAGCATTTAGGGACAAATTTGAACACCCCAATAGTTATTACCATCCTGTATTTGGGAAGGCAATTATAAAGAAATACCGGCCAAACGCCTGTGAGGAAGCATTAAACAATGGCTCTGGTGTCAAATTCAAAGAGTTCATCCGCTATTTACTGGATTCTCATCGACCAGTTGGTATGGACATTCACTGGGAGAAGGTCAGCAAACTCTGCTATCCATGTTTGATCAATTATGATTTCGTAGGAAAATTTGAAACTTTGGAAGATGATGCCAATTACTTTTTACAGCTAATTGGAGCTCCAAAGGAGCTGAAGTTTCCAAACTTTAAGGATAGGCACTCCTCTGATGAACGAACCAATGTTCAAGTGGTGAAACAATATTTAAAAGACCTCACCAGGACCGAGAGGCAATTGATCTATGATTTTTATTACTTGGACTATTTGATGTTTAATTATACAATGCCAATTTTGTAGTGTTCATTCCTTTTCTAAACCCATGTATTTATTGGATGAGGGCCTCAAGTCAGCTACTGTAATTTTACGCTGATTCTCTATATAAGAATTCTTTAACTCAGTACAGTTGTTTTAACTTAACAAATATTTTTACCAAATAGTATAACACCAATTGACCCAAATGTATCAAAAAATCACCTAAAACAGACAAGTAAAGAATTTCATTTGCTCTAAAGTTTATGGAAAATAATTGCTTTTTTGTATTATGGATTCTGTAGTAGAAGCAATAATCTAATCAGCTGTTCCAATAGCTAAAATAGCCTCTTGCTACAGTAGGAAAAAAGGGATCTAAAATAGCATGAGTGTATGTCTATACCAGGAATGTATTGTCTAAAGTGCATGAATATATATATATATGTTTAACAGTCTATGGAATATTAATCAAGCCACTGCATACATTTTTAACACTATGGAAATGTACCAACTATAATGACAAATCAATTTTGAAATGGTATTTTGGGCATAGGCATTTTAATTTAAATTAGAAGAAGGCATTATGGGATTTATAGTATGAGAACATAGCAGAAAAACCAGATGAGGCTACAGCTTTTTATGTTCAACAGTCAATAAAAAATGCACAACATTCTAAGATCAAATCAACAATGACTACCTTCCTCATCCAGAAGAACTTCAGGGAATTGATTCTGTTTTCTTTTCGAGCTGTCTTCACTGAGACAGAAATGAACAAAACCATGAAAAGTTTTCATTTCTGAATCAGGCTGTTGAGAAGTTTAAACCTCATCAGATATAAATGTACTCCCCATTCTAGTTTAATTGGGCAAGGGGGAAATTGTTTCAGGATGGCATAATCATCAAAAACAAAAGTTGCCACTCTGAATTGTTGTCCTCGAACAATAACAACATTTTATTAGAATATTATTTGAATCAAAGCATCATGTGCATAGCTTTCCATGTGGAATGTACCCCAAGAATAGCTTTTGTTTTTAGGCTCTAATTATTCAGCTTGGGAATGACTTTTTAAAAACTAATATACCACTTCAAAGATAGGTTATGTTCTAGAGAATAGAATAACAAGAGCCCTTAGAAACATTTTTAATGGGCTTATGCATAAACAAATTAAGGTATTTTCTTTTTAAGTTTAAATATTCTATACTAACAAAGTCAAATAGCATTGCATTCACATATTAAATCAAAGTCTTGGGAAAATAAGACCATGTGTCAGTTGTATGAAAAGTTGTATTGCATTTTGGAAAATTTTTCCAAAGGATCCTAAGCAAGATGCAACAGTCAAAAGGGGAACGTAGCTGAATTGCTGAGCTATTACCTTGAGTTAAGCAAACCGCGTTATTAAAACTCACTTTTAAAAAAATTTTTATTGTATTATTTTTACGTGTACCGTCAAATCAGATCTGACTGGTACAGGAGGAGATTGCCCCCTCCTTCTCCAGCAGAGCATCTGGTGGATTTGAGCTGTGAAAACTCACTTTAAGTGCTTTCTTAATCATGTTCTCTTCATAGTCTTTTTCTCTTGTCAGAAAATGTTCAGGAATGCCTCAAAGGAAGGTCAGTATTAGTGTCTGGATGTTAATAGACTAAAAGAGTTACAATCATCCTTATTTCACTTTGGTTTCCCATTTCATGGCTGAGTTGATTGACTCTCTGACATACACCTGCCCTTCCCTCATTTCCATCTGTGTCTCAAAAGGGCACTATATAAACTGCGATGGACTGCCAGATCAATGTATTAAGCCTTCTACTACTATTCCATGCCATTTGCTCTTGCCTCTAGAAGAGCCCTTTAAGCTGGGCTACTGTTTAGAAGGAGGTTTACTTTGTCGTTGATGATGATTTAAATGCTGTGGGATCCATGCTCACGTACAGCGATGCTACAGACCAACACACTGCTCAGTTCTGCTCCAGTCTTTACAGGAGATTGATGGGTCTTTGAATTTTATGATAGCAATTGAGTACAAACTGTTTGCATTACCCAGGCTGTTCCGTATATGTGACACTCACACGTGCCCTTTTGGTCTTAGTGTTCGAAAAGAGAGATAAGAAAAAGGAAACAAATGCTCACTATCAAATGCTGTGCTCCAGCCGTTATTGTATATAATCCTTTCCTGACTTGTCCCACTGATTGATACATCAGTGTCCCTCTGAGCCTATGTCACCACAGGTGGCCGCAAGGTCACTTGCCTAACACTTTCTGATGCCAGCTGATGTGTTTTACTTGTGAACTTGGAATTAAGCTTCCTCTTACCAAGAAGAATACATTTTTTCTGTTCCTACTTTTCATTCTAAATTACTTTTTCTGTGTGTTACTTTTTATATTAGAGTCAAAGAAGGCAGTCATCAAGATCCTCTGTGACTTTTCAGTTCCTGGAATTGCACTGCTTTGCTTTGCTTTATAGACCAGCTCACTTTTGCCTGAACCCCAGGAGCAAGCACCATTGCTCCTTTGGGCAGTGAGAGTTTTGTGGACAGTCTTACCAAGGCAAGCGACCATGTCCAGGCGCGTCTTCCAGATGTCTGTTTTAACATTAGCATGCTTTAGGTGTAGTGAGGAGTTCTCTAATTAAACCCCAAGGATCCTGTTAGTTTTTATAGGCTGCAGTAACACGCTGGGCAGCCTCTTTGTTTGTTATTTCCCTCCTCTGAATTCCTATTAGGGTAGCAAGTTGGCAATTACGGTCCAAGCCACAGTCATTTAACCTGATAAAACTGCCTATGGATGTGCATTATTGATATGATTGAACCCAAACAGTGCTACAGACTAGCAGCAACATGTGTACAGGTCACTCAATTTTCTGGTTGTCTCAAGGGTATTTGGAAGTATCCATTAAGTAATGGAAATGTGGGAGTCGTTTATTACATTTTCTAACTTCATTGTCTGTAACGTATTCCTTGGCAGTTCCCCAACGACTTGGACACCATTAGCAATTAGAAAGAAGGAAAAGACTTAAAGATTTAACTTGTTAATTTAATTTTTTAAAGAATTCATTATAATATAAATGAAATAAATATAATGAAATGAAGGGCAGATGAAACACAATTTAGAAAGTTAATTTAAAAAAAAGAAGAAGTTGTTATCTCCAAAAATAGAGTGTTTAGTTGAAGAGACTACAGGTGCAGATGCAGAGAACTTTGAATATTAGAGCTGCTCTTGTCCAGATGACTTGTGGATGGAGTAAAACTTGAACCCAGCAGACTGGGGATGTGACAAACATCGTTTTACTTTGAATCGCCATTTAGCCTCTTGAGTGTCTTGAGCCTATGGTGGCCTACATGGACCATGATAAAGCAGAAGCATTGCCTTTGCTAACTTCCCCAACATGCTCTGATATTTGAAGAATGATTGGCCAAAAATGTTTATTCGAAAGTGTGCCAGGGATGATTAGGATGGCACATGATAGGGCAGGGTTCAGGTTGGCTGTTCATCCAGTTGCTATGAGTCGACCTAACAACAGCACCTAGACCAAAGCTAACTCAATTTTGTCCTTCCTTTCAGATTATTGTTGTTATTGTATGCACCATACTATAGAGTTGGAACCCACCCATAGCTCACTCTCCAGTGGGTTTTCAGAGGCAATAATCGCACAGGAGGAAATTATACATCCTTCTCCCATGGAGGAGCTGATGACCTTGAATTGTGTGTCTTTGAGATTGGAGCGCAGCTTCTTGCTTCTGGGCCACCAGAGCTCCCTCTCTTCAGATTACACCTTCAAAATCTCAGTAGTAGTCATACTTACTGTTTATCAGGCACTCATTAAAGGCTTTATATGATTAATTTATTTGATCTTCGGAGCCATCTAAGTATAATATAACCCTACCCTTCCAAACACACTAACCAAAGCAGAGAGTAGTTAAACAACTTGTAGTTGAGGAACAGCTGGTGAGAAGGTAGGGAGCTAGGGATGAGTGCAGCCAGCAAATACCACTACCAAATGCTCTTCTTGGATATGATGGTTAATACTGTGTCTTCGTATGGTCTTTATCCTCCCTGTGACATTATGACCTTATTAGGTTGAAAATTCTAATTTCTATGATGTTGAAGCAAGATTTGAAGACCTTATGTAAAAATGTGACCAGCCTTATCTGATTAAGGGAACATTCCCTAGGGACATGGTCTGCCCCCTATCTTTTGGAGTCTGTGGCAAAAAGCTAAAGAGCAAGTTTTAAATCTGATCTACATCTGGCTATCTTGTGTCCAGAAGAAATGAACCACTGACCCCCCATACTCGCCAACTTCGGATCATCAGTCTCCTGAGCCAGCTGTCTCCAAGCCTGCTCTCCCATGATGACCTTCAGCCTCAGCGTCTAAGGCCAGCAGTCTCCAAAACAGGCAGCCTGCGGCCGTGCCTGACTGCTAATGACTTGGACTCATTAGCTGCCCAACCACCTCTCTCCTCAGGTCTTACCTTAGACCTGGGATGAGCAGCTCTAGTAGCCTAATGGTAAGAATCTGCACTGAAATCCTTAGGCACATGGTTAGAATCCTCTAGCTGTTCCATGGGAGAAGGATGGGCAATATCCTCCCCTGCGATTAACTGCCTCTGAAAACCCACGGGAGGGTCAGCTATAGGTTGGTTCCAACTCAGTGGTACACAGCAACAACAAACGCACGAGCTAATTCCTTGAAATAAATTTCCCTCTTCCTCTCTTTCTCTCTGTCCCTCACTTCCCTCTCTCTCTTTCAAGAGTTCTCTAAAGAACTCAGTATCAGACATTAGAAAATTTGCCTAAAACATTAAATGTTTTATTTTCTCTTGCCTATTCAGGAATATCTAATGTCAAGAAATATGTTTGAATCCTGAATGTGTGTGTGTGTGTGTGTGTGTGTGTGTGTGTGTGTGTGTGTGTGTGAATAGATAATAACCTACTCCCTTGACTTCTACTGGGTTAAACTGGAAAATTCAAAGATTTTTGGAAAAAAATCAAATATCTCTCTCTCTCTCTCCTCCCCCCTCTCCACAATTGCTCTTAAGATATTTTTTAAAAGA